ACATGAAAAACTACACATTATTAAGTTTCTAAATAATGAAAATTTATTAAACCATAGACATGAGTTAACGGTTTTTTGCCAACATCAACAAATTTTCACATTAAATAATTAGCATAAAAAAAATTAAATTTTATGGTCTAACAAAGGTTTAAAGGCTTAGCCCAATCATAAGATAGAAAAACCCGTTATGAAGTTGTCAAAAAAACAAATTATAGTTCAGCGTGTTGCATTTATGTACAAAACAGCCATTTAGAAAAAAAAAAAATAAATAAATAAAAAAAAAATAAAATAAAATTCTCTAGAAGTTAAGGACATATTATGGTGCCAACGGCTATCTGTCGCTGTGACTGACCAGACGATGTGTGTACATGAATGCCATTATTTGCTTTGAAATGGATACCCCGGCCCTCTTTCTTTCTTTTGACCTCTTTCCGAAGGTGACTGGTATCTTGATACAAACTAACTCGTATGCCCCTTATCAAAATGGTTGTTTCCATAGTAATTAATTTTGCTAATGAACATGCTTATAAAAATACGGAAATTTCAAGATTGGTTATTCCTAAATTTTCACTTGAGGATGAAACAGGATGTGATACTTTAATTCAATTTAATTTCAATAATTATATTGTGGTTTTTGGTTCTTATTTTTGAAACTTGAGAACTCTTATGTAGCAAAGGAATCATATTTTTAAAAAAATAATTATAATTTAATCTCTACTTCTGTATGGTGCACTGTTTTTTAAAAATAAAAACAAAAATACTAAAGAACCCCGGATTATTTACCGAATTTGTTCTTTCCTATTTTTCTATATATTATTGAAAATTTATTGATATTTTTCAGCCTTGTTATGGAAAATAATTTTTTATTCAGTCTTTAAAAAAAAGGATTGTAAAACTCAATTTTCAGAACAATAGGTCAAATACAACACATTTGACAGGCGAATTATGCAAAATAGGAAAAGTGAAAATTATTCGTACAGTAGAAAATATTGTATTAAATTGATTGATTCATGTAAGTATAAGTAATTTACATAATTATTTTATTGGTGAAGCCTTCTAGACTATTTATTCAGTAGAATATTGATAATAATTCCAGCAAAGGACATCACATGGTGCATTGTGTCACTGTTGTTGCCTTAACCATATGCTTTGTGTCATTACCATCATTCTTTGTCCTTTTTCTGCCATCCATTCATACAAACTCATACACATTAAATATGATTTCACTGTTTCCTCTTACTTCTGTGAGTGTTTGATTTTCTAGGCCTTCTTTCCTCATTATGTATCTCAGAAATTTCAACTCTTTCTGATTGTAAGTTTACCTGTAGTTCCTATTTCCCTCAAAAATTCCTTATTGTACATATGTCCTGACCATGGTATTCTCAGTATTTGTTAGTAGAACTGTATCTTAAAATTCATTCATCAGTTTCTTATCTGATGATAGAATACATGGATTGAATAAAAAAATCCAGATACTCTAAGGCATAGACAAATGATCAATTATCCAAATTTTCAATAAATTCAAAATTCTGGAGCTTTAAGTTTGACCTTTGGTATCCTTGTGTTTAATGCTTTTGACCTTCAGATGAGACATGAACATTGCATTTAATATTACAGGTTTACTCATGGTGCAACTAAGGGTTGGAATTGGAAGCCTATTTACAAAGCTCTTTGTTTCACTAGGAGTGACAGATTTTAGTTTTAGTTAACATAAGTACCTCTACATATTCGCAATACCTAAGGTTTAAAATGAAGTTTTAAAAATGAAAAATATTTTTTGAAGCTTTTATTTTATTTTTAATTTCAAGATAATAGATTAAATTTAATATTTCCAATAAGCAAAATACTTTGCTGTATTTCAAAACTAATTTAAATTGATTGGAAGGAGCTTTCATTTTGAAATGACTAATTTTAGCACCATTGTAATGTAATTCTCCTTATTAAAAAAGTCTTTCAAAAAGAAAATATACTTTTCTGAAACTTTATTTGAGAAATATTAGCTGATTTAAAGTTTAATTAATCTGATTTGAAACAAATATTACTTACTTTTAATTTAAATTTGTATTTCATTAAAATAGTTTTAAGGTGGATAATTAATTAAAAAATTAAAATGTGCGTAAACAAAGGACCAGCTTTAAAAGTTTTTAAAATTTTCATAGACTTTTGTATAATTTAAAGTAATGTCTTTGTTTCACAAAATTTCATTATGATGTGAATCATATCTTTAACAATAAATTTTGGCTTCTGTCTTGTTTAATATTTGAAATAGGCCTCTTGTTCTGTCACTTAGTTGCACATGAGTAGCTGGAGTGTTGAATACCATGTTTGGAATGTAACCATCTCCAGTGAAGTGCTTCTCAGTGTAAAAAGTTTATTCTCAGCATATGTCACAGACATTATTTCGTATCTTTCTCATCAAAATTCTTTATGCAATATCCTGCTGCAACACTAAAATAAAAACATTTCTTCAAGAAAAGTGTCCAATCTTGTTTTTGTATTTACTCCGACTCAAAGATATGAGTTGTGTTGTGTAATATCAGTCCTCCTATATGGAAGTGAATGCTGGGTAATTTCTTCACAAATGAAGAGAAGACTTGATGGAATAGAGATGTTGTACAGGAGAATACTGGGAATATGATGGATGGAATATGTGAAAAAGGAAGAAGTTTTAAAGAAAATAAGAACAAAAAAGTTACTTTTGCTTATTGTTGTGGTAAGAACCAGTTACCATCCTTATTATCATGAATGGACTGATCTATTCATGATTGGGTAATTGTCTAGAGGGGGGGGGGAATAGAAGATAGTACTATTACAGTAATTATCTACCTGAGTATTGAATACTACTATCACAACTAACTCAGTTGAGTTAAGAGTTGTGTTTTGCCAGACCCCACATCACAACAGTTGTTGATGAGAATTATTCACTATCTATTATAATAGTGGTGGGCAAAGATTTGCTTTTTCAACTTGTGAAATCAGTACAGCAAAAAAACAAACTTATGCTGAAAACAACAGAACATTAAAACATCTGAAATATACATTGGAAGCAAATTTTAAAGTCGAACAATTAAAAATGGAGGACTTGAAAGTAGTAATGTAGGAATTAATAAAACAACAGTAAGAATGACAACAAGAACAGCAATAACAATTCCAGGAAACATTGCTGAGACAGCAAGAACAACAGCAAAAAGTACTAGAAATTTTTATGAAAAGTAAAAGTGACAAAAACACATCTGCTTTTTTCTTACAAGACTCAGTAGTAAATGCAATTGGCAAATTTAAATATAACCCTGATGAAGAGGTTACATTTGCAGCATGCTACAGATGCTATGAGGAAATCTTTAAAAAATTCTGTATAAGCTGGTTGGACAAGAAAAAAGTGCGCCTGTAACTAAGAAAGTTAGGGCCACAAAAAATACATGAATTACATCCAGCTGAAAAAAATCAATTTAATTGTCATTTGAAGAAGCTATTACATTGTTCAGTAAAATTTTCAATGGGCAAACTTCATTGTTCAATACATGTTGGCAATGCAATCTTGTAAAAAAAGAATATGAAGCTTATACCACTTATGCTAGTATCATAAACAAGGAATGTGAAAAGTTCAAGTTAAGCAAACTAACACCTGACATGTTGAAGTGCTTGATTTTCATACAAGCGTTGACAGAAATAGGGATGTAGAAATCCATCCTAGAATTTTAACTAAACTTGAACAGGACTCAAAATTGACCTTGCAAGTGGTAGCTGAAGAGAGCCAAAGAATAGTGAACTATGATACGGTTAGAATTGAGGAAAAGGATGTATCCCACATAAATTCAATTCATCCCAAAGTATATGGAAAAACAAAATACTTTACAAAACCAAATCCATGTTCTGGATGTGGTGAACTACATTTCAAGGGGGACTGCTCTTTTAAGAACAGAAAATGTTTTGATTGGAAATATGGAACACAAGAATTTGCATTGTAAAGTTAAAAAAAAGAAGAAAATTTATAACCATAAAAATAAATAGGAGAAATATGACACAGAGTCAAATTTGACTATTATAAACAAAGGAACATGGGAAAGAATCGGTATACCAATATTCAATTCCTTTCTCACCAAAACAGAGACAAAATTCCCAAGATATTGAAATGTTGAAGACTCTTTTGGATCTAGCTAAAATTTTAAATATTTTTCATCATGCATGACTCTTATTCATCATGTAATTTTTTTTGTATCAAGCAATATTATAATGAGCATATGGTTGCAAAGGAAATGAACAAGCACAGATTAAGATTTCAACACCTTGTATTGGTTGAAATTCAAAATATTTTCTCTTAAAGGTGGCAAAAATTGTTCATATATGGTTCCTTAGTTGACACAATTAAGGCAGACAATTAGGTGTAAAGGTGTTGTTGGTATGGCCAGGAGTTGACCAATTTCTTGGGTTGGTTGGCTAAGGTCACAATTTGTTTAGTCGACTGAATTTGATGCTCAGAGCAACTATGCAGAAAAGAAATTTTTTTATTTTGTGTTTTGCTTTCTCAGTGTCTACATCCGGCTGACATGTGAATCAGATCTAATTGCAGCAGATTATAACAGCAAGAAAAAAAAAACAAGTGTTTGAATGCTGATTGATATTCCTTTCTATATGTTTATGTGGAAGCTATTTTCTTCACTTTTGAATTTTTACTAGGACTTGTATAAGATGTAGTTCAGTTCAACTGTGCAAACAATAAAGAGCTGTGTAAACTATATAGACGTTTCTAAGATTTTCCTAACATTGTGAGAATGTTGGCATTGATAATTTTTGCATCAACCTAAGAAATTCTATAAATCTTTAGTACATAGGACATAATAATGTATGTTTTATATGTGAATTTATATTTAAATGTGCTTTATGCATTTTTATTTTCAATGAAAATTTTATGTTACCATTCTTAAAATAAACTAGACTATATTATTATTATTCTTTTAGAAATTCTTTTATTCTTATTTTTTTTAAATTTATATTTTAAGGATTTCCCATGGAAAGCATCAGAACCAAAGGTTCAGCTGCCTTATTATACCAGTCCTGGAGAGTGTCCTCGGAAAATTGAAATTGAAAGGTATGATGACTATAAGTGTATTTTAAAAAATATTAAATTATTTTGTATTTGTAAAATTATTTCACTTCTATGAAAATTGGTTGTCATTATTCTGATATGTTTTAATAAAACTATGTTCAAATTTAATAATTGATATATTTAATATTGAGTTATTTTCCTTATTAACATATACATTATACTCATTTTTGCTTGTAAATTAGATTAATATAAACATTTTGAAAGAAAAACTAAATTAAGAAAAATTTATTTCCCTTTAGCTACTGCATTTTGTTTTCTTAAAATTTAACTAAATTAGATATTTCTGATGAGTTGTAAAATATTTTGTTTATACTAAAATTGTTTGTATTGAGACAATGGATGTTATTTTTCTTGATAAGAAATAAATAGTTTCAAATGCCAAAAAATAATACTCCTGTTTGTTGTTTGCCATTGTGGTAACACAAGCCAATTACCTCCCCTGTCTTATTTGTATAAATAAGTCACACTGTCTTAAATAATAAGCCAAAAAACATGAATTAGCAACTACCTGCCCGTTGAGACTGCAATTTTCAAGCAACGACAGCAGATCAGGCAAAAGACGAATTTATCAGTGACTCCTTTATGAATGGATTAGAATTGAACTATATCCATCAAAGATTGCTGGAACAACTAGATTTAGCTACTGTTCACAAACAGGAACTTAACTTGGAGATGGCAGAAAAGCAATCTTCTTCATGCCTAAAAACAAGTATTGCAGAGGCTGCACTAAGTACTTACACTCTTATTAGTCCACCAGTTCAAACAAGCTAAACAGGAAAAAAAGACAGTCCTCTATGACAGATTTCCTCATTTCTATCCCCCATTCCACCAGTTCAAAATCTTCTCTCTCCAAAAGATACTGTATCCACTGCTAGTGCTGCAACCAGATGAAAATGTTATTTTTGTGGTCTCAAACTATACTCCTGGTCATGTTGCCCAGCCAGGGAAACTAAATGCTACAAGTGCAGGAAGAAGGGACATATCTCTAAGGTTTGTCGACCAATTTTTTTTCACCTGGTTTGAATGCTCCTATTGCTACTAGTATCATATCAACTGCAAACCCTAAATGTCTTTCAAAGGCTATATTAATGGTAAAAATAAACAGTGTAGAAATGAATGCTCTAATCGACACAGGAAGCTTAGAGAGTTTTATTAGTGCTGATTTTGCAAAAAGAAACAGATTTAAAATCATACATTGTAATAGTCAGATAGCTATGAAGTTTAGAGGATACATTTTTGCCAGTGTAGAGTTAAATCAAACTAACTACACTAACACCAAATTTTTCCTGATGCCAAATCTGTGCTGCTATGTCGTACTGGGCCATGATTACCTCAAACAGTATTCTAATATTAATCTCCCTTTTGGGGGCCCTAAACCAAAATTGAACATCTGTGGCTTTGCTGCTATAAATGTACACTGGCCCTCTCTTTCCGAAAACTTAACCAAAAACTGTAAGCTAGTGGCCACTAAATCTCAAAAATATTCTCTTGATGACAAAACATTTATTCAAGCAGAAATACCAAGAATGTTAAAAGGAATAATTGAAGAAAGCAAATCACCATGGAAGGCACAAGTATTAATAACATCCTCTGATAATAATAAAAAAGGATGGTCATAGACTACTCCCAAACTAAATAGGTACACCCTCATGGATGCATATTCTATACCATGTATTGGCAAGATGATAAACGAGATCACCAAATACAGCATATTTAGCATGTTAGACCTAAGGAGTGCTTATGATCTATATAAGCTGTATGGCTCAATATATACACTCAGCCATGACAAGAGTTCTTATGGGTCAACAACCATCAGAGTACTTGGATATATTGGGAGTAAAGTAATCATGAAGCTGGACCTTGAATGGCTAAAACCACTGCTAAAACTACCTATTCCCAACACCATAGCTGCCTTGCGAGAAACTCTGGGTATGTTCACTCATTATCCTCAATGGATACCCTGCTTTTTTGAAAAAATACACCCACTTATAAAAATTACCAAATTTCCTTTACATGCTTCTGAGATATTGCCAACTCTGCTATCACTTTATCGAATCCTGACATTCCCCTAGAAGTAGAGACTGACGCGTCTGACCACACTGTAGCTGCCATGTTAAGGCAATCTGAACGCCCTGTTGTGTTCTTCTCCAGAACATTGTCAAAATCTGAGCACAGACATTCAACTGTTGAAAAGGAGGCTTATGCCATAGTCAAGACACTAAAACAATGGCAACATTTCTTAATTGGTCACTGCTTTAAGTTAATCACTGACCAAAAATCAGTCTCTTTTATGTTTAATCCAAATATGTCAAGCAAAATAAAAAGGGAAAAGATAGTGAGATGGAGAGTAGATCTTTCCTGTTTTTCATTTGCTGTTTTGTGTTGGTCAGGAAAGAAAACTGCAACAGCAGATGCACTGGCAAGAATGTGTGGATCAATAAAGGGCACCAAAGATCTACAAAAAGTTCATGATGATCTCTGTCATCCAGGCATCATGAGGATGATATATGTGGTTCAAAGCTGGAATTTGAATTTTTCAGTTTAGGACATGAAACGAATAGCAAATGGTTGTCAAATTTGCGCTTGAATAAAACCAAAACTGGGAACACTAATAAAAGCTCCACAGCCATTTGAGATGCTGAGCATGGATTTTAAGGGCCCTCTTCAATCTAATCCCAAAACAAATATCTGCTGTCATTGACAAGTACTCACAATTCCCTTTTGCCTTTCCCAGTCCAGATGTAAGTGCAACAATGGTCACATGTCTTTGCTCACTAGTGTCAGCTTATATTCATACAGATTGTGGGACCTCTTTTATGTCGACCAACTAAGAAAATTCCTATTGGTACAAGGAGTGGCTGTAAGCCAGACTACTCTATACAACTCTCAAGCAAATGGATAGTGTGAGATACACAATGCCATTGGATTTTCCTGAGGAACAAGGCCCCAATAGGGATGATTCAGAGATCAACACTAGAATAACTCCCTCAAAATGATAGCATACTACCACAGACAAAAGGAGACAAAACAATATGAGATGAAATACTTCTGGTTGACTGTTCCCATAACACCTGAAAGCTCACATCAACTGCCACTGAGACAATCACAGAGAATTGTCAAGAGACACAGTCACCTGGTTGGTTTTGTGTTAGACTAGGAGAAAACAAAGCCAGGGAAAATCTGATAAGACACCCTGATTACCTCCTCTGTCTGATGATTTGTATAAATAAGTCACGCTGTCTTAGCCAAACCAGCAAGACGCATTATGTTCAATAAAGGCACATTAAGCTGAACTAGACTCCGAGTTTTCATTACAGCCATATAATCTTATATTTAAAAGCATATTATTTTGTACTCATGATGAATTTTTTCCTTAAATTTCATGATCTTTGTTTATATAAATTTCTTTGTCAAAAGAAAATCGTTAAAATTTATTTAAATTTCTTGTCATAAGAATTGACAATTTATTTTTTGATTAATTTATATTATTATTTATGGTACAGATTTGAATTTAAACTTTGATTTGAATTTAAAAAATGATTATGTTCAAAATACACAGCATTATATTTTAAGGTTGGGTTATTGTTTTAGGTTTGATATTGATGCAAAATCTTTATTTTCAATAAAGATAGAATACATGTTGATATTTTTTCAAAATTTCCTTGAAAATCTATCTTTAAATGTTAGATCTCTTATTGCATTTGCAGACAATTGGCTGTATTCCTTAATTTTAGCAAATAATAAGCAGTAAAATATTCTCAGCTAATTTACGTTAATGATGATTGCTGAAGAAATCATACATGACAAAATACAGTAAAATATTGTTATATGATATGTTGAAAAGGTCTCAAACTAACCAGGAAGGAATTCAGATATTTTTGATGTTTGCAATTTGGGTAGTGTGTTAGAACTTTTCAACATCTATTTCAAAATCTATTAAAAATAATTCTCTGAATGATATGTTCATATGAAAGAATAGTGCAACTAAAATTATGTGAGGAATATATATATATATATATATATAATAAAAAGTGAACATAAAGTCAACACTTAGGCAACAGTCTGTTTCATGCTTTTTTGCAATCGTCAGCCCACGTGTTTTTTGCTAACGTTAAAATTTCTTGTAAAAAATTATACTACGTTAATAAATAAATAAATAAATTAGAAACAAAAAAAAATAAATAAATAAAATTTTAAAAAAATAAATAAAAACGAGCAATATAACTTGACCAAAATAAATGAACTCGTTTTTTATTTTAAAAATAACCGCCATAATAGAATTTATTTGCACCACTAACCCTTATATATATTTAGCCGAGAAAAATAATTACACGTAGCCTGACGATTGCATATAGCATGAAACAGACTGTCGCCCTAAGTGTTGACTTCTATGTTCACTTTTATATTTACACACGCCTATCTCTGATATTGAGCACTTTATCCCATAAATATAGCACACCTTAAGACTATATTTCTTTATATATATATATATATATATATATAGATATATCACGGGTTTATCGTGACATGAAAAAATAACTCACCCACCTCCACCCACTGGCCTTACTTTTCTATTTAGTATAGATCTGACATTTAATTGGTTAATCAAGACATACCCACAAGTCTATTTTTAATTCTGACCTTTTGTCCACCCCCTTGAATTTTCAGAAAAGAGGTAACACCTTGTTTTTAAATTTCTTTAAAAATCATTTAATCACCATCACCTGAAGAAATACATTCATAGTATTGAAACATGAAAGCTTTTGAGTAGCAATTTCAAAATATTTTTTATTATAATCTCTTATAATAAAAATATAATAATAATATATTGCTCTACTTGAGCACATTTTTAAAAGTAAATTCTACAAACAGTGGATTTTGACTCCATCTGTTTTTTCTCTCATTATATATATATATATATATATATATATATATATATATATATATATATATATATATATATATATATATAATGAAAAAAT